CCAATGAACGGTTGGCGATCATTGCTTTCTGTTCGTTTCTGAAAACATACTTGTGTCGTCTAAAGGGTCAGGTCCCTTTCTAGATACACTGTAAGACTTGCTTTTACCACACTAACACCAAAGGTACTGGTAGAAATTTGCGGTCTCGTCGTGTGCCGAATTCTCGCCCAAGCAGACGGCTTCAGGTGATGGGCTTGGGAATCACAAAAACCATGAGGCAAGAAAGTTACGGATGTGGTTCGGGAAATTGCCCCCAAAATGAAATGAGGAAGCGAGGATCTTGATTTAGGAAACGAGCCATGAGGGGAACAAGAGCATGCCACTATCCTTCCTCTGCATTGTAGTTAGTATATCTCAACAGAAACCTCTAGGGAAAGGCATGCCATCCGATCTGACGGATGCATAAACCCTCAACACCCTAAGAAGAATTTTGCCGGTGACCCACGTGTGCTGGTGGTCCAAAAGCGCCAGAATCAAAATCGCTAGAACGGTATTGGTTACTGGGAGGGAGCTGCTGCTGCCACTCCTCCCCTGTCCTCAAAGGGCCCTTCCTACTCAACGCTGTGCCCTCTTTAAACGACACCCGCCTCTCGGAGCCTTGCTTTGATGCCAACAAGCTTCTGCTTGCGCTCCCTCGTGCAATGCTCAAGCTGCCTCGTACGTTCCCATGTCTCTCCTGTCCCTCCACTCCCCCCCCACCTGCCCCGGTATCGCTGAACCTTCGTGGCACCTCCCTCCTGCTTGCCGCTGGCTCCAGTGGCTGCGGGGAGTCCGTGAGGAGGTCAGAGAGAGGCGCGGGCTCTGTATGGCATCGCCGCATGCTTGAACCCGCTGATGGATCCGCGGGAGCACCCATTGCGTGGGCGGCGTCTTCCAGAGGATGCGTGCGGGCGAGGTGGTCAAGCACGAGGGCCAGCATGCCCCTCAGCTCCTTCACCGCCGCCTCGCTGCGCACCAGATCCTCCTGCTCACATTCAAACACACACGGGGTGGAAGGGAGGGGGTGGCGTTGACGCGAGGAGAAGGAGGATGACCGGATGCTGTGCACGCATGGCATGGATTTGGCACCTGAAGGGCTTATTGCAGGCTCTTCACGATTCTCAGCCATTAGGATTTGATGACAGCAACCCCCGCTGTACCGTCACACACACCCTCTCACGCTAATTTAGAACACTCAGCGCACCGCCTTCCTTGCCCACCTTGATGTGCGCAAGGCTGAGCTTCTGCACGGTCACCCCCTCTCACACTCATTCACAACGCACCTTGATGTGCGCGAGGCTGAGCTTCTGAACGGGCTTCTTGACGGGCAGGGCGGACTGCTTCACCACCTCGCCGCACTGCAGCATCACCGCCTGCGACAGCTGCTCCAGCTGCTCCTCCTCCGCAGTTTCACTCGAGGCTGCCTTTGGCCAACAAGTGGGCAGCAGCTCATGCTCATGGGGCTCATGTCGCTGAGAACAAATTGTGAAACATGGGAAAAGCAGTGGAGAGAGAGAGAGGTGCGGGGCAAGATTGATGTGAGAAGTCATGCGAAGAGTCAGCACATCACGTTTGCAAAAAACCAAGCCACAGTACATGGCTTGCCACAACACATGGCTCAACATACCCTGGCACAATCACATAGCATGGCACAACATAAGCCATAGCACAACCACATGGCATGCCACAACACATTGCTTGCCCAAGTACTCGTTTCAACAACCATGCCAGCACAAACCCACCTCCCTGTCCTGCCGTCGCTGCAGGATCATGGCGAGAGAGATGGCGTCGATGCGCTTCTCCCTCACTGTCAGCACATGCTGCTTCCGCACCCAAGACTCGCTGTCAGTAGAAAAGGCAGACTGGGTTTTCCCGCAGCTGCCGGAGAAGATGGCTCGCGTCCGCCGCTTCATCGACTGCATACGGCGCATCCGACGATTTGACTGCACCGCACAGGAATTGGAGGTTCTTGATGAAAGGATTAGTTTCTGTAAAGCCAGCATCAACGACCATTTCAGCAACAACCGCACGCATGCAGACCCTCCACGAAACAAGAAGTTGACGACTAACTTGATCCAGGGGAGCAAGAGAATGTCATACCAAGGTGAGAAGCAAGAGTGGTACAACAAGTCTCAGTTGGGAGCATGTACAGTACGTGGGGAGGAACTCCGAGTTGGGACTAACTTGTGCACGGAATGACCTGCGTGCCCAGCTCTCACCTCTTCCACTCGGGTGTCCTTGGCGCCCAACTTCACAAGGCGTTCGAGAATGACGCGGTACGGCAGGTAGCGGCCGCGCCAGCAGTTCCACTTGTACTTGAAGATGTGAGCGAGGTCAGAGGTTATAGAGGTGGCGATGATGTTGCTATCTTTGACGTTCATAAAAGCATCGACGATGATGGCGATGAGGAAGTTGAGGAGGATGAAGACCATGAAGACGATGAACATGAAGAAGAAGAGCATTGCGGCTATGAGGTCCCATGACTCCAGGCGTTGGAAGAAGTAGGCGGAGGAGTTGTCGTTGAGGAGCAGCAGGAAGCAGGAGAACATGGACTCCAGGACTGAAGAGAACTGCACAGGTGGATGTGGTAGGCGGGAGAAGGAGATTGTTAGGGGAAAGGACGGGAAAGAAGAAAGGAAGAAACAAAAAAAATAAAAAACAAACAGGGTTATGGACGCAGTTGCCTACTATTTAACAAGCCCTTGTATACCAGTGGTCTCGTGTTTGTGATTTTGACATGGAATCAGAACAAAAGCCCTAGGTTCAAGTTCCCATGTGCACACATGCTGGCGCTGCCGCTGCTCCGTGTCCTAGGAAATCTCTATTAAGGAAGGTTGTTAGAAGATCCGCACTGAGGATGCCCGATCGATCCTAGGAAAGGGTTACAGATTCGGAGGCCTGGCGGTTTATGGACGGGCTGACCTGCTACTTAACAAGCCATTTTATCTCAATGGTCTAGAGATTGAGATTCTGACAACATGTACTCTATACAGAGGTAATATCTGAGGCAGCCACTTACCATCTCGAGTGCGCCTCCAAAGACGAGGTAGCCGTACATGCTGAAGCAGAAGAAGACCGTAAAGGAGAGCAGGAAGAAGTGCAGCAGGGAGGGCGTGGCGACACTGAGGGAGCGCGTGATGACCCCAAGGTAAGGCTGGAAGTCCATCACCTTGAGGAGGCGTGTCATCATGAAAAAGAGACTGGGTTTAAGGGAAACATGGAGAGGAACAAAGGAAAAGGGGAAGACATGAGGCGGGAAGGGCAGCACAAGCGAGGAAGTTAAAGTGTGGTGAATTGGATATGGATGATCAACCTGTGACGACAGGTAGACATGAGGAAGGAAAAAAGTTGAGTGAAAGGTCCGCTTTTTCTTTTTACTTGTCAAACGAGAATGAACACACACGACCACACACGCACGCACAACACACACACGCGCGCGCGCGCACGCACGCACGCACGCACGCACGCACGCACGCACGCACGCACGCACGCACGCACGCACGCACGCACGCACACACACACACACACACACACACGCACGCACGCACGCACGCACGCACACACAAAACACACGCTGAGGGCAAGGCGGCTCACTTGATGCCCTGGAGGGCGAAGTAGACGGCGCGGAGGTTGATGATGTTGCGCAGATCAGCGAAGGCCTGAGCGGCGCTGATGAAGCCCGTGGGCGGGTTGGGCACGGCCCAGTAGCGTGGCATCTCGAGCAGCGTGTAGTAGATGTCGTAGCGTGGCTGCATGTCAAATGCCTCCACGTACCGCCACAGCACCACCCTGAGCACACCAATGCACATGCACAAACGAACAATTGGAGGATGGTGAGCGAGGCGGATGAGCAGGGAAACATCCGAGCATGTTAAGGAAGGTGAAAGAATGTGGGAATGTGGGGAGGGTTGGACGGGCGGTGAGGAAGAAGCTGAGATGGCAGATGAGATGCTGAGCTCAGGATGCATTGTATGGCAAAGGCCTCCCCTCATACAGCTTGGCTGGTTCCTTACCAGATAACAACAGCAGTCACTTGCAGCGTGAGGGAGAGCATGTCCACCCAATTCCAGAAACAGCCAAAGTAGCTGAATACATAGCCATCCGTGGCGGCGCGGTCGGCCATCTCCTGCAGCTCGCCACACACATTCCAGAGCAGCCCCACCAGATACACCATCTCCAGCACCAGCCGTGCGATGTTGTCCGCCGATGCATCGTACATCGCCATGGCTGCCGGCTGCGACTTGAAGCTCACTGCCATGGCGCCCCCCGCGTTCACCTTGCAGGTCACAGTGGTCAGCACGAACGTGAGCGAGTCGCCTGGCAACGGGAGGTGAAGGTGGTGGATGCATGCCACGTGAGAGAAGGAGACACAACACACACATACACACACACACACACACACGCACACACACACACACACACACACACACACACACACACACACACACACACACACACATGTTCTAGCGGTTGAAAGCAAAGGCAAGTACCGTTGAAAGTAATGAAGCTGACGTCGACAGTGCGAGTGCCATTGTCGATGTAGCTTCCATCCACCAGGTAGTGCAGCCGACGCATGGCCGCCTCGTAGTCGAGATTGATGTCAAACACCAGCGGGAGGGTTGTGAGTGATGCCTGCGAAGATATTACAGTGCAAGAGAAATCATCACTAACAAGTGTGACTTAAGGCAGCAATATGAAATCCTCACAAACAAACAACTCATCCCTCACTCATTTCATGTAAGCTAGAATCATAATTTTGTGTTTGTATCAATATCTCAGTGTAGACATAGCCTTGAAGAATGGGTGATACGCACCAAGTCCACCCGCCATTGGAGATTGCATTGAACTCAATCTAATCCATGTTCCAACCCAATCCAGCTCATTATTCATGCAGTGAAGGAGCTCTGAGTTGCAGCATCCAGCGAATCATTACACCACCCGCATAGCATAGGGTACGCGACTACGTGGCAGTGATTTGCAAAGGCGAATTATGCAGAGCAAAATCGGGTGAAATGACTGACCATGGGGTAGATGAAGCCGTACGGGAGGCCCTGCGGGTTGAACTTCAGTTTGACGCCAAATGTGTTGTTGTCGAGCTGGCTCATGTTGGCGCTGGCAGCGCTGTTGTAGATGGCCGACGTGGGCAGGAAGTGCGGGTTCACTCCGAACGGTTCCAAGGACGTGCCGTTGCTGCACCACCCCGCCAGGTGCAACAGCCTGGGGAGGGAGGGGCGGTGTGAGGGAGATTGGGTGGATTGGGGGATTTGGAGTGGTGCAGCTGTGTGAATGGAGGATATGAAGAGCAAGTGGTGGCTGCACCAACAGCAACAGGATCAGGCGAGTATCACGAAAGCCTGGCAAGTTACACCTCATTCATTAGAGCCACTCACCCCATTGACCGGAGCCACTCACCCCATCCACCAAAGGCACTCACCCCATCCACCAAAGGCACTCACCCCATCCACCAAAGGCACTCACCCCATCCACCAAAGGCACTCACCCCGATCCGTTGCAGTGCTGCGTGCCCCACCGATCCTGCTGCAGCACCATGCCGATCAGCAAACTGCCACGAACAAGGGTTTCAGGGGGGACGGCAAAGGGATATAACAGAGGATGCTGATCTTGGTGGGGAGCAGATGCTCTGATGGGCCAAGGAAAGCTGACGGAACAATGACGCCGCATGGGTGTGTGCAGCCTGCGGTGCCTCTCTAAGGGGTCCAGGACGGTGTTGAGTGAAACAAGCGTGGCAGCTGGCAGGGCAGGCGTGGCAGGGCAGGGAGGCACGGGGCCGTACCGATTGTGGCGAGACACGTAGCGGTTGACAGCAATGCCCCTCTCAGCCGCGAAGGCATGGTTGCTCTCTGTGTAGTTGGGGCCGTAGCGCTGCAGTGAGAAGGGGAAGTTGAGATTGGCTCCCACCGCCGTGGATAGACAACACGCTGGGGAGGGGGAGGGAGGAGGAGGGAAGGAGGAAGGGGGAAGGGGAGGAGCATGAGGAAGAGAGAGCAGGGACGGTAGGACGAGGAGTTTATTGAATGAAAGCACAAGCCAGGAATCAGTAAGAGTGAAGAGAGAATAGGAAGCAAGCCAGAGAGGCGGGTGGAGAATGGGAGAGGGGTGACTGACAGCCGTCGTCGTGGCGGGTGTGGCCCGGGGGACAGGAGCAGATGCCGGGGCCAAAGAGCGGGTCGACACACGCGCAGTCGCCGCCGTCAAAGGCGCACGCCGGCGTGTTGCACGCCGCATCGCACACCCCGTTCGCCAGCCGCCGCAGCCGGCACCCCGGCGAGCACTCGTAGGTTGCCGCGGCGGCGGCGGCGGCGGTGGCGGTGGAGGCAGAGGGGGAGGAAGAGGAGGAGGGGGAAGAGGAGGGGGAGGAGGAGGAGGTGGTGGTGGTCGAGGGCGTGATGGTGCTGGCGGTTGTGAAATGTGCGGTGCTGGAGAGAGTGCTGCTGTCAGTGGCATGCACACCACCTGCCATGCATGCATTGCATGCACGGGAGGGATGGCGACGCGGAATGGATGCAATACGGGCGGGTTGGGGAGAATGCAGGAAGATGGAATGGTGAGGATGAAAGAGAGGAAGAAAGCACAGTGGCATGCAGTATGGCACAGAGACTGCCAGACTGCCACGCAACATCGCACGCATGGCATGTTGTGCAGCATGGTATGCAGTACGAAATGTGGTTTGGCATGGCATGGCATGTGGTATGGCATGGCTGGTGGTATGGCATGGCATGGCATGTGGTATGGCATGGCATGGCATGTGGTATGGCATGGCATGTGGTATGGCATGGCATGTGGTATGTCATGGCATGTGGTGTGGCACGCATGCTGGGCTCACCAGCAACCTCAGCTCCTGCTCGTGCAGGCAGCACAGTGAGAAGCGACACATCAGAGGAGGAAGAGGAGTCGTCGAGCGAGAGAGTGCCGTCCTCGTAGTGGATCGTAAGGGGCTCGTAAAACACCTTGCTGTATGCAAAGGAGCCGGGGGACTCGTCGTCCATCCCTGGTTGGAGGGATTGCGGGAGGAGCAGGAAGGAGTGGAGCACAGTGAGAGGATGACTGGTGTGAGAGGATGACTGGTGTGAGAGGATGCAGCAGCAGAGTGAGATGGTACTTCCTAGGCCGCCATGGTAACTTCATACAGCTCAGCTTCGCAGGAGGTGTCACACGCGCTACGAGTAAAGAGGTAGTTGTTTGAGCTTTGAAGGAAGCGGACAAGTTCAGATTCAGTTCGGCTTCAACTCAAAACACGTTTGAGGTGGTGTGTTGCTCATGCCTACCACCCCTTACTGAGCAGTGAGCACACCCCCACTCACTCAACACGCATGGCTGCGGTTCTTCAACGGTGTCCCCCGCGCCCACGTTCATGTGCGTGCATGTCAGCAGGCGCGACACGACCAGACGGTTCCCTCCAAAGCCCAGAAACAGTGGGTCCTCTGCCTCACCCATCGCTGCCACTGATGGTGGTGGCAGTGGAGCAAGAGAAAGAAAGTACTGGGGAATCAGGAGCGCAGGCAAGTAAGTAAACCGCGGAGTCGCGGAGCAGAGCCAAAGCCAATAGATAAGAGAATCAGTGCAAAAGGTGCGGCGTAGGTTACACTCAAGAGCCAGTGGCACCAATGAAGGTGGTAGCGCTGTGTACCTTTGAGGGAGTGTGGGAGGTCGTCATCCCACACCCAGGTGACCTTGTCGCCCACATGGATGGTCGTGTTGTGCTTCACACCCGCCCGCCACGGCAACCACGCACCGCCTGAAGGGAGACAGAAATTGGAGGAGGAACCGCGGCAGTCAAAATGATTCGTTTAATTGAGGTGCCTACACCCACCCATCCACTGCATGTACACCTACGTCACAGACACATGCACATGCACATGCACATGCACATGCACTCACCACCCAAACCACCGGGCATGAGCACCCACCTTGAGAGCAGCCGACAGCGTCGGAGGTGGCGATGGCATCATCAAAGGAGTGCATGAGCGTGTTGAGACGCGCCGCCGCCGCATCTGAAATGAGTGTCACGGACCGCAGCGCCGCCGCCACCGTCTGCACGAAGCGCCGCATGTGCTGCGCTGAGATCACGCGCCCGCCCCTCACATGCGTGCTGCGCAGGTACACATACATGTCCGAAATAGACAACACTTGCCGCCCTGCTGTATCCGTGAGGCGGCACTCATCCAGCGTCGTCACAGGTCCACCCAGCATGGTGCAAAAGCACGCCACCATGTTCCACCGCAGGCTGCCCGGGCCTCCCTGTGAGTGCTTCCTGTTCGCTCCCGGCCCGTGGCCTGCAAGGCACTGATCCTTGGTCACTGTGAAGAGGGCTCGCGACACCGCCACCTGCAGCGCTGTCAGTCGCTGGCGGTCCGTGGCGCCTAGGAGCGACCAGAGGGAGGGCTCTGAGGGGTCTGCTGCGGCTGCTGTTCCCGAAGCTGCCATCGCAGCGGCTGCTGCTGCTGTTGCTGCCGAACCTGTTGGCATTGCTGCTGCTGCTGGTGATGGTGGTGCTGACGCTGGGGTCACTTCAAATCTCTGTGTTTCCAGCGGGTGCGCTTCTGCGAGGGCCGTGGAAGCAGCAGAGGCCGACGCAGCAGGAGAGTCGACGGCAGGGGCAGCGAGAGAACGCACTCCAGCAGCAGCGGGCAGGGAGGAGGTATCAAGGGGGCCAGGGGCAGTGGAGGCAGGCCAGCGATCATAGCTGTGGGAGTGGTGGAAGCGGTAGAGCGCCTGAGAGCAGAGAGCAGCCATGCACCACGGATTTTGGGGGAATGGGTAGGGGAGGAGAGGTTGGGAAACAGAGGCTGTGAAAGACTGAATGACAGAGTTAGCAGCGAGATGACTGCAGGAGCAAGCAACTGGAGATGTGAGCGCCGCAGTGAGGAGGGGAGAGCGACAGCGAGCAGCCGGGAAACAGCATTCACAAGAGGAAACACACAGAGCGAGGGATAACAAGCGAGACAGGCGTAGAGGGATGGCATAAATAGGGGAGCAGGTCACCTTGCGACGGTTGCCACCAGATATATGATCGGCTGGGTCTGAGCCTGGGATGGGACGCAAACAGAGGGATGTAGTGAGGGGGGTTGCGGCGTGCAAGGAGGGGAGGGGTGAGGCACTCAGTGTCACGAAACGTATCAGCAGAGGCAGGGAGCGGCACGCAGAGGCAGGGAGCGGCACACAGAGGCAGGGAGCGGCACACAGAGGCAGGGAACGGCACGCAGAGGCAGGGAGCGGCACGCAGAGGCAGGGAGCGGCACGCAGAGGCAGGGAGCGGCACGCAGAGGCAGGGAGCGGCACGCAGAGGCAGGGAGCGGCACGCAGAGGCAGGGAGCGGCACGCAGAGGCAGGGAGCGGCACGCAGAGGCAGGGAGCGGCACGCAGAGGCAGGGAGCGGCACGCAGAGGCAGGGAGCGGCACGCAGAGGCAGGGAGCGGCACGCAGAGGCAGGGAGAGCCAAGGACATATCAAGTGGACAGACTGCCACGCTCAGTGAAAGGAGCGCATCTGAGAGAAGCTGGTATGGGGAATGAAGGGAAGGATGTGCATGATGGGGGCATGGGATGCTGCCTGGCGCATGCAGTTAGTGCATACCTGAAACGTTGCAGGGGGTGTTGGCAAACAATGATGCGATATCCGGCTGAAGAGATTAGGCGAAAGGGCATTGGAGAGGGAGTGGTGTAGCAGGGGAAAGGGAGAACCAAGAAAAGTGGGCTCAAGTGATCAGATGAAAAAAGGACGGGGCAGAATGGAAAAGGAGACGCAATGGGGCAGGGATGCGGTAACATGGTGCATGGCAGGTGGTTGTGCGGACAATATGAGGGCGTATCTCTCAGTTCGGGTCATGAGCACTGTTCATTCTACTGTTTGGGTCACGCATGACCCAAAGTGGGCTCCCAAAGCACCCGCGATCCCAGCTTTGGGTCAATGTGCAACTTCTATGCGACTGACGTCCACGATCCGCCCCCCACCAATCCGAACACTGTGTGACCCCATCTTGGGGCCCCTACTTTAGACGGTCGTCAAAACAGACTCACCCCCGTCAATCTCCCAACTACAGCACATAGCAATTTTACAGTCGGGTCTGTGGTTGGGTCCAGTTTGGGAGCCGCGCAGATCTACATTTGAGATTTTACCCCCGGAATTTAGACGGCTGGGAATGTGGCGTTAGTGTCGCGCAAAGTGGGGCTCGACAGCGCGCGAAATGTTTTGGCTTCCCGCCATCGGTCGCGGCTGGTCTTAGGCGGGCGATTTTGCATAACGACGCGCGGCGGCACTTTGAGGGTCGCATGAGATCGGATGACCCCCAAGGCGGCGTTTTGAGCTGTTTGGGTCATGCGGAAATCGCGCATCACCCAAAGTGGCCTTATGACCCGAACTGAGATACGCCCTGAATAGTATTGGAATCACGAGACATGGGATGAGCAGGGATGCATGCGGCACGGCAACATGGAGCTGGAAGCGCACCGTGGGGCAGGAAGCATTCGCATAGGAGGTGATGGAAGAAGGTGCAACGATGCACATGCGCGCACAGTCCACGAACGCCCCTGCCACCTCCCTCTCCGTGAATGCTCGCCCACAGGTTGCTGGCAGGCAGACCACCAGCCTTGCACACGTCTGCATGTAAACACACATGCACGCACGCACACATGCGTGCACGCATACAGTCAGTGGGATTGGCATCAACTATGACCAATAGCATGCACAGACTCATCTTGGGAAGACGCCAGAAGAGATTAGAGGAACGCCCACAGCGGTAGCACAGGAGCAGCGGCATGCTCACATCACGACAGATGTCGGGCGAAGCACCGGCAGCACTGCCACCTGGCTGCGTCTGATTGGTGGACGCAAGGCCATCGTCGAGAGAGCAGGACCCCCACGCGACGAGCTCAATGGAGGAGGCGGCGCCGACGACGGAGAGGCGGCGCGTGCCGGGAGGGGGCGCGTGCACGGTGCCGCGGATGCCCCCCGCGGGCGCGATGAGCACCACCACCCAGTCGCCGTCCGGAATGTCCAACGCCACTGACACTTCTGACTCGCCACGCGGAAATGGCTGGAATGCCTCGTACCTGATTCACCCACATGGGCACCACGCATGGGGTGGCGTGGAGTAGGGTGTGGGATAGGGTAGCATGAGTAGAGTACACAGGACAGAACGGCAAGAAGAGCAGAGAGAGGCAGGAGGACGGAACATGCAAAGAGAGGGCGAGCATACCAGCAGAGGGAGACTGGGTCGACCATGCAGAGGTTCCAGGAAGATTCGTCCGCAGCCTGTTGGGTGTCAAGGTGCGAGGAGAATCTGATGATCACGGAGGTGAGGTTGGGGAACGTGCCGCAGTCTGCCTCGCAGCCAAAGCGGCCAAAAGCGGGGAACTGGAATGGCCGGTCGCACGAGCCGTCGCCACATGTGGGGTCCGCCCACAGAGTCTGCAGATGAGGCAGGAAGAGGGGGAGGGGCAGTGAGGTGGGAGAGACGAGGGGACGAGCTGTGCGCGTGCGTGCGGGCCGTGATGCGGGCAAGAGAGAGGTGTGATGCGGCATGGGCATGGGTAGGCGGGCCGGTGGGGCAGGTTTGGATGTGCGGAGCAGGGGCCAACACACGGCAGGTGCAGGAGGAGCGATTATGCAGAGACGAGCGGCAGAGGAGCGCACCTGCACGATGCTGGTGTTGAGCCAGCTGTAGAAGTCATCCGGACCGTTGAAGGTGTTGGAGGCGTCCTGACTCATGCCCTTCTCTCAGGTGGGGAGAGGCGCAGGCATGCAGGGCGGAGGGAGACGAGAAGTGACTGGGAGGAGAGGCGGCAATAGTGGAGGGAGCTAGGCAAGAGCATAGAGAGAGTTTTAATGCACGTTGGATTTCATGCGTGCTATATTAAACGCGCGCTGGATTAAAAGGGCTCTAAAATGCGCGGTAGGTTGAATGCGCGCTAGAAATAATGCGCACTATATTGAATGCGCGCCCAATTGAATGCGCGGAAGAGGGAGGGAGCAGCGGAACGGAAGTAGGGAGCATACAGGCGGGTAGAGGGCAGAGGCGAGGAGAAGGAACGCGTGCAGAGAGCATACGGGGGGAAAGAGCACGGCATGCGCGGAGGTAATTTCGTAGCTGCGGGAGGAGTCGGCCTGGAGGTAGAGGATGGTGATGAAGAGCGCCATGAGCACCACGAACCCGCCCAGGTCGCGGTAGTGCTGCACGCGCTGCTGCAGCGCCACCACGCGCACGAACGCCTCTGGCACGCGCGCAAAGGGAGGGGGGAAGGAGGGGAAAGGGCGTCACGGGGAGTTGAGGCAGTTATGAGCAGCAGCGACTCTACAAAATGTGTGACACCACAGCCCATGCCCAAAACTGGGTTTTCCCGATCTTTGCGCACAGACTATTGAACAAGCAATGACTAGGGTTACTTGAAACATTGTTGAGGAGGGTACGCATTGCTGAAACATGGATCACTTTTCAAAAACTATGTCCCCCCTTCCCCATTGTATCCCACGACGTCTAGCAGTTCGAATCGAACAAGCCCTGCACGTGCCAATTTCGATTCACACAGCGAATCCATTTCGGTTCTGCTGGATGTCGGGTGGTTTCCTTGCGCAACATCAAGCCCACAGAATTTGCTTGAACCTGGGATCTAAAATCGCATCTGCAGAAATTCCCTGGCGTTATAGCAAACGCACCTATAGCGAGTCATGAACCAGATAAGATGTTGCTGACTCGTCACTCTGAAGGTGTGGTGTCACAAATGGATGTGACAGCGCGGATTGGTTTAGACATCCTCGCGAACAGAAACTCAGACCGATTAGGGTTTCCGTTTTTCGCCTAGCTTCGTTGTGGCCTGTCTGAACCCTCTAGCAGTGGTACATTCCAACCCACACGAGATTTTGACGATCTCGCAAACCCAGTCGCCAACATTTGGTGTGCGAGATGCTTTTCCCTCCCTCAGCTAGTCAAAATCCACCCATAGCTCAATATGCGTTGTTTTTCTCTTGCACGATCTCATTCTCCATTCTCTTCACTTGCTTATCTAGCACGGTGCTGTGGCTTCTGGTGTCTATCCGTTCCTCCCAATTGGCCCCGTTTCTAACATATGTCCCTATTTCCTGTTCTTACACCTTCTCTTTAGCAGGATATCGAAAGTCCGGGGTGGTGGACAATTAGTGCTGTGATGGCTGCATGAAACCCGTTATTACGCTACCTTCTCACACCCTACGCGTGCCGGTCCATTCTTGTGAGTTTCTGTTCCAGGTACGTAAGCATTGGCTAATGCGACCTTGTGAGCACCTCTTTCTTTGCAGAATGCTAGGGCTCATCACAAGGCTCTACATCAGCGATTTCCGAGACTATCGTCAAGCGTCCGTGAATATTATTGGCCATGTAACAGTTTTATTTTTCGAGAAGTTGAATCGCCAATCTATCGCCGAGTTTATCACGGTTTCTAGAGGTGCTTCCTGCGGTGCAGGGCGGAGCTTATAAACGGCATACATGATTGGTAGGTTCATGTCACAGGAGTCATTTTTCTAACTTATCTCTGCTGTGTGTGTTGGTGCTCGGTGCAGAGCCCGCTTCCGGTCCGAAATAAGCTACTCGTATCGGGATGTTACAAATATTGTGTGTGGATTTGTTGTGCGGGGGTATTTATCTAGGATGTTAGGTTTTTTCTTCTTTTTATAAATTGGTAAGGCAGGCTAGGTCTTGTGACGATGGCTATCATCGTTGTAATGTTGAGTTCAAATATAAGACATGAGGAACCATGACAAGTGTTAGCAGAAACCTAATTCATGAGTGTCACGATTGGATATTGGCACCCAATTGGCAGGCTGTAATATGTGATTTCTAGTTTAAACTGTTTTAATGATCACATTCCATGCTCTCAATAGGATAAAATACAAGCGCTTGTATTTTCTCCTATTGAGAGCATGGAATGTGATCATTGATCCGCTATAGTAACTTATTGTAAATGTTCTCCTGGTTGCTATAGTGAGGATGAGCAATGTTCGCGATGTGCTGAAGCACTCCTTGCCGAGCCTACTCAAGTTTGCACATGCACACGTTGTTATGATTCCTCGAACATACCTCAACTGTTCAGCACTCATCATGATAAACCACAAGCATTGATGGCAGGGGAAAACATCAAACAATCCCCGTGAAATGTTTTTTCATTCCTTTTCCTTCTGACATTTCGTTCTCGAGAACGGTCCAGGTGGCGCGAAACGCCCAGCAGTCAAGCACCGCTCTGAACCTGCGCGCACCTTGCAGCACCTCTCTGTCCATCTCGTCCATCTCCGCGTCCTGCAGGGTGACATCGCTGGCCGAGCGCGCCAAGCCGTCAAGCGCGCCGCGCGCCATGGTCTTCCCCGTCGTATCCTCCGTCAAGCTGCGCTTCAGCGGACCCCCCTCGGCGGTCGCCTTCCCCTCTCCGCCCTCCGCGCCATCCTCGCTATCCGCGCCATCCGCGCCATCCGAGCAGCTCTCGTCGGCGCTCGTGCTTGACCGCCTGATCTTCTTGCGGCAATACTGCAGGAACCCGCGCAGCCCCTTCTCATCATCCGCTGCGCTCTCGTGACTGCTTGTGCTGCTGCTGTTACCGCTGCTGTCCCGCGCTCCCCTAGTCTTCAAACCAGCTCCGCAAACTCTCCCTTTCTCCGTCAACCTCTCGGCCGCTCCGCAATTCCCCCCCAAGTCCCCGTCGCCGCCGCAACCCTGCTCGTCCGCATCTCTCTCTGCGACCTGATTGAAGGACGAGCTTTCTTCGACACGTGTCATGAGCTCCGCATTTTGCGGCGCGAATCCATAGCTATCGAGGAAATCCAAGTTGTGCTGCTCATTGCTGCGAGACCCCGAAGCCTTGCGCCTTTCAATGGCGGAGGCGGAGGGCGGAAGAGTTCGAAATTGGCGGAGCGGAAGGGAAAATACAACTTGGTTTTCATGAAAACTGGAACGTGCACTACGGAGACAACAATAAAAACTCGTAATTCAACATCTATAGGTAACGCAAGTAACGCCATTTCCAGCTCACTATGCTGCATCCGTGGTAACTAGCCTTCAGGCAAATGTGATCCTCGGCTCACCTGGAAAAAGCGTCGGACTTGGATCGAGCCCACATGCGGTAGTTGGCCGCCTCATACGCGTCGAACTTCTCGTCCAACAAACTCTCCGACCGCGTTAGCACCGGCCCTTCCCTTTCGCCATTCGCCGCCGCCTTCTTCTTCGCGCGCATAACTGCGACCGCCTCCGCCATGATCGCTACTACGGCGAGAGGCAAGAAGCAGGCGTGCTCGCTCGAAATTCAGCTACGGCAGGGCTAGAAACTTTCTAAGCCGCAACTACCTAGGGTTCTGAGTGCGGTTGGTAGCAAAAGGATACGCCAGGAGGATGGTACAGGGAGGGTGTCGCGGTGCAAAACTGAAGACTGAGAGGGTGTCTCGAAATGCGGAGAGAGTGAAGTGAACCGTCGGATGCTGGTCCAAACCCTGACAGTCCAGCTCTCTCGACATATTTTGAGGTTTCTCGACGTCCCCACCCAACTTGAGACACCCCTCCAGTGATGGAAGGGAAGTATGCGACGACAGAAGCATGGGTGGGAGTCATAAGTAGCATTGGACGGGAGCGACGGGAATCACGCAGGGGACGCCAAAATAAAGCTATGATCTACATCACAAGTTCCGAAACCCCAGCCGACTTGGTTGGGCATCCAAAAATGGGTTCTCGGGACGTTTTGGGTGGGGAGGCACCCAGACAGAGCTCTAGGCCAGATTCACCCTGTCACTGCACTGTGCCAAGTAAGGCACCGTGGGTTGCGTTGCTTGGGATCACTGATTGCAGTTCCGCAACAACAGTGCTGCCTGACTCGGGGCCCTGAGGGATGCTGTGCCTGCGCCTATTCCAGTGGGGCGAAGGCTGGCGACTGTTCGATCTGTAAGTAACCGACTAACAATGTCGGGAAAACGGGTGTACAAAAAGGGGTACTTTGCCCTTTCTGTTATCTCTCCGCCACACGTTTCCTTACAAAGGGGGACATGTGTACAGTATTGTACAAACTGGACCCCTTTCACAATTGTCTGATTACAGTGCAGTGGCAGGCGTACAGTTGCTGAATTGTTCTTATGGGTGGACTCACTTGTCTTGTCTGTACAGTGGCAGGTGTCTTGTCATAAGGGCTCTTTACTTGCATGTAAGTCTTCTCAATATACCGTGTAACATGCTGGTTATGCAGATTCCTGTAAAAACATGAGCTCACCACTACACATCTATCTTCGGATCGGAAGCCTGACTTCCTCAACTTAAAAAAACAGAATAGAACTTGAGCAGAGCGTAGTTCGCGTGAAAAGATCCTGACAATTTATTTGCGAAAAGATACGTACTCACTACTGGTACAGGATGGTTGTGAAGTGAGGCCTTATTGGCCAACCTAGAAGCACTAACAAATCATGATCTACGCGCGGAAGGCTGTCCTTCCGCTCCTATAAGTGTATCATAATTTAGTGCTGTGCGCGCTTGGTGCGGCAGAGACGGGGACAGATTTGTAGTAGGAGGGGCAGACAGCTGGGAAGAAGACTCGCCGTACACCCTCCGCCTTGATGATTGGCACTATCAGCTGAACAGCTCCCTGCAGGCACAGCCATAACCACAAGCAGAGAGGAGGGGAGGAGGTGGAGAGCGAGAGGGGGGAGGGAGCTTAGGTCATAACACAGCAAAGCCTTAGCTGATCACATGGACGCATCGCACAGGTGCACGGATGAGGGTCATGGGCCGCAGCATTTCACGAGCTGCAGAACCAGCCTGGTTCGTACCGAACCTAACGCGCACGAGCATCCGTACCTGTATCAAGCGTGCGCCAAGCCAGACGCGGCCGGGCTTGGGAAAGGGGAGGAGGAGGCGGGCGAGGGCAAAGAAGGCGACGGCGAAGAAGTGCAGCACGAGGCTCAGCGGCTGCGGGTTGAGCCCCGAGAGCAGCGAGATGGGGCCCTCGGAGCACGCCCCGCCCAGCTGCAGGTAGTCGAAACACGCCTGCAGGTCAGGGGGGAAGAAACATAGGTTGAGGGGCAGGGGTGTGGGGATGGGAGGGGTAGACGTTAGAGAGTGCTGTGGGTTTGGTGGGCTGGCATAAATGCTGCTGATTGAGTGGGTATGGTGCAGTGAGGTGACGGACAAGAGGCAGGGAGCTGTGGCAGCAGCAGAAAACATGGGTGACAGTAATGTGGCTACGAGTAGTGCCACTGGAGGGTGCGAGGGGGGGAATGCGTGGCAACATTGTCCTTTAGAAAAGCTTCGCGTCGAATCTTCGCACCCATGATCTTTCATCGAACGCCAACTTTGTACGCAGCTACGCTCAGCAGTGGAGGGCGTGGAAGGGTAGGTGTGGAAAGGGAGGCAGGCTTACCTGGCGCATGGCCATCATGGCCTCGTCCTTGGAGGCACAGAAGACTCTGTAGAGCGCGATGGAGAGCGTGTTGATGGTCGCTGCTATGGGCTGCATGGCACACATGGGGTGCACACAGGGCACATGGGGTGCAGGGCACATGGGGTCCAAGGCACAGGGAATATTGTGTTAGCACAAGCTTAGTGGGTTGTGGGCGCGAGAAGTTGTTCGCACGAGCAAGAATCAGCTACACGCTTTGCGCTTCCATACCACGCACCATCGCATGCTGACGACAACACATTCCATCACACACAGCATGAAACCCCGAGCCAGCCACTGACACACCAACACGCTGAAGCACACAGACAAATTGCACAGACGCGACGCACCTTGCGGCGCGTGTAGAAGGCCTCGGCGTATTCACAGACCGCCCGCGTGTTGCGGAAGTCCTTGAGCGGCCGTAGGATCTGAGTCAGCACTGACACGTCAGACAGAGCCACTGTCATGCCGCCACCTGTCATTGGGGGAATCAGGCAAGCAACCAGAGACAAGCAGTGAGGCAGAGGGGGACGAGCGCATGGGTGTCATTGGGACGCAATTGCGTGGCGCCAGGACGAAGAGGCACATGGGAGAGAGCGGGTGGCGCATTTTCCCTAAGAGAGCATGTGATAGAGTGGGCGCGGAAGCACCGGACCTGCGAGCGGGTGGCGCATGTTACCCGCGAGCGGGTGCCACGTGTTACCTGTGAGCGGGTGGCGCATGTTGAAGGCATCCCCCATGAGCAGCGCGCCGGGACGGGTGACGGGGACAGCTGGCATGATGCGATTGGGCATGCAGCGAATGTCGCCCGCCCGCACCGCCTCTCGGAAAGGCCCCTGCAGCTGCTTCGGTAGCTGGGGGGTTGGGGAGGGAAGGCGGGGAAAAGGGTGGTGAGGGCCGCGGGGATGGTGAGGAGGTGAGTGAGACCAACACGAGGTGAATGCGGGTGCTGAGGCGAGCCAGGGAAGGGAGAGGCGCATCAACGGAGAGGATTGGCGTGAAACGAGCAGAATTGTACGAGAGAGAAGCGCGGAGGCAGGAGAGAAGAGGGTAGAGGAGGGGAGGGGAGGGGAGGGTCGGGCAATGGTGGGGAGGGGCATGCGGGTCGTACCTGCGGGAGGACGGCGGAGAGGAGGTAGTCCGCCATGTCGCCCGAGGCGATGGAGGGCACTTTGGTGCCCGCGGGGATGTCGACGAGGCAGCGCACCTCCGTGCTGCTGACGGGGTAGAAGAGCACGGGCGACGGGTCCGCCAGCACCACGTGCCCGTAGTTGGGGTGCGGCAAGGGGCAGTCGCGCAGCAGCAGCCCCACGAACGACGACGGCACGTCCACCTGCCAGGGGGAAAGGGGAGAAGGGGGAAGCGCGTACGACGGAAGAGAGGGAGATTGAGCTAGGAAAGGGGCGCTGATGGGTCGGAAGCGCTTGGCGGAGAATTGTGGCAGGAAGAGTGTTGGGACGGAGTGGAGAAGCGAGAGGCGAGGGGCGAGGAGGCGCGCGCACCTTGGATTTGGAGATGGAGCGGCGGAGGTTGGAGAAGCAGCCGTCGCACACGAACGTCAGCGGCGCCAGCATCTCGCCCTCCTCTGTCTCGCCCTTCCCGCCCACCGCGCTTGCTTCCCGCACTTCGCCCAGCGCGCTGCCCGGCACGCGCTTGGCGGCGCGGTAGCGCACGCCCGTGACGCGGTCGCCGTCCTCCAGCAGGCCGAGCACCGTGGCCTCTCTCAACGTCACTCTGCGCGCATCGCACCGTCGGGTGGGGTGGATAGAGGCCGCGGAGGAAGATGCGGGAGAAGCAGAGCATAAGCAGGGGAGAAATGAGGCGTCCTGCTCCATTGTGCGTTCCGCCAGCGCATCAATTCCCTAAGATGACTCGTTCCGTGTGCCAAGCAAAGCGAATCTCACGGCCTCGCATCGATCCGCCATCCCCTCGCCCCTGCCCACGTAACCGCCCGACCCCTTCTTTCTTGCAGCAGATACTTCTCAACCTAACCCCGGCCTGATCAGCCGCAGCCCCGGCCTTAACAGAAGTAGTCCCAGCGACATCAGCCGTAGCCCGGGCCTCATCAACCATAGCCTCGACTGTTCCCATTCCCACACTCACGTGGGCAGCGATGCCGCCTTCTCGCGCAGCCGCTGCACGAACCGGCCGTTGTGGAACCCCCGCCCCGCCACCTTCCACATCTCCTCGCCCGCCGCGCTGCCCGCCGAGTCGAGGCGGTGGCCCGCGAAGAGCATGTGCAGCTGCGCCGTGGAGAGCGTGGGGTACGACACCTTGCAATCGCCGCCGTCCATGAAGAGCGCGTAGCCGTCCACGCGCTGCGCGTCGATGCCGTCCACGCAGTCTGCGCACACACGGGCGCCACGGCGACGTGAGCGGCGGCAGCAAATTAAAGCGCAGAGACATGGCTGAATCAAGTACCGCGCAATGTGAGGGGAGGGGACACCTGATCTTGAGGTACCTTGGACGAACAATGACTACCTTCGTATGGCGCAGTCCCAGCGACGTACCTTGCATGCCCAGCTCGACGAGCTTGAGATAGCCGCCGGGCTGCAGCAACTCGCCCACGATCCGATCCGGCTCCGACAGATCCCTCTCCAACACCAGCACTCGCCGCCCCGTCTGCCGCACAGCATTGCACAGCACCACGTACAGGTCACATAAGGAAAGGGGAGCTTGAGAAATGCCTAAGGATTTGACATCAGGTGGTTACAGTTAATGTGATTTGACGATCAGGTTAGGAAATGGGTCGCGCCTGACCTTTCCGAGGGAGTAAGCGAGCGCACATCCCGCAATGCCTGCGCCGACCACCAGCGCGTCGTACTCCTCCTTGCCACCGC